GTAAAAAAACAACCAACATCAAAGATTTCATTTTTGATATCAATAAGAAATTAAAATATTGTTTATTGTTTTTGATATCAATAAGAAATCAAAATATTGTTTATCAAAATAATCAATGATAAAATCAAGAAAAGAAAAACAACCAACATCAAAGATTTCATTTATAGGATTTAATAATATTGCATTAGCGTATTCGTGAATTTCCAGTGATAATGGAAAAATTTCATCATCATTGTTTTCTAATAATTGCTTAATTGCTTCTGATAATGAATTACAAAAATCAGGCATCGGTGTTACAGGCATATGACATTGATGTGCTATTGATTCTCGACATTCCTAAATAAATAGATTTCAAATTTATTTGAAATTTGCATACAATTTATTTTATCATTAATTGAATTTGTAAATATTATCTGATATGATAAAATAATAATTTAAACATTAAATATTTAATAATCATTAAAAAAACAATTAACATTTGTTTATTGCTAATAAAATGTCAATCATTAGTAAGTCGTTTTGGAAAGGAAAAAAAAAAACAAATAAAAAAAGTGAAAACGGATTACAATGTATTTCGAAATTTAAAAAAATTAAATTAAAGTAAGTATCAAATTAAATTGCTTGCATAAAATTAACACTTAAAATATTACCTCATGAAATGAAACTTCTGTTTTGAATGCTAATTTATCATCTTGTAATACTGCAACTTCTCGAATACATAAATTATCACTTGTATAAATATCTTTTACTCGATACATAAGTGCTGATGGTCCAGCTACTGAAATTAAATTAAATATGCAAAATTTTTTTTTTTAGCATTTATTATTTAATTAATATTACTATCAACATTATTACTCATATATTTTAAAATTATTACTTTTTTTTTTTTAATTACCACATCATCTTATCAACTATCAATTTCAAATCATCTTATCAATTTATCCATTTTCCATCCTTTTTTTTCTTTGCATTTTTAATGTTAACAATCACTTGTGAAATTTAAAAAATTGATAAGATGATTTGAAAAAAAGAAACTTAATAAATTGAAAATTATCATAATAATAGCTTCTTTTATATATTTGAAATAATTTCTCATTTATTTTTTTTTAAAATTTTCCAAGAATATATTCATGAGTTAAAATATTAGTTATTTATTTTTGCTTACTTGCAAAAGAAATATGAAATTTGAATTTATTTTTAAAATATATTATGTAGAAGAAAATCATTTTAAAATATTAGATTAATTGATTGTTTTTATTAACTTAAAATAGATACATGAAATTGATTCTTTTTTTTTGAAAAAAGAAAAGATGGAAATAAATTTTTTATTTTTCTTTTGATACTTAAAAAAATTATTTCAAATTTTAATTACCTTTATTACAAAAATATGTATGGCAACTATTGATAGCCATTTTTTGTGGTACATTTTTGATTGCACTTGCCATTGCTTGTGATATGATTAATCCATTTGGAATGGTTGATTTGATTGGTTCATATCTTTGAAAAAAAAAAAAGAAAAATGAAATCAAATAAATGAACTAACAAATAAATAAACAAATGAGTTTTTAATTATTTCGTTTTTTTATATTTTCATTTCATATATTTCATACATTTCATGTATTCATATCTTCATTACAATTTTATTTTACGGTAAAAATTGGAAATTAAACAGTTTTAACAAATTAATTTGTGTATCAAATGAATCAAAAAGAAATGCATCATAATTTTTAATCATTTAGTTAATCAATCGTTGATGGATTGCAATTAATTTTTTTTTTCAACAGAAAAAAAAACAATGTTATCCTACTATTAAATGATTATAAAATTTCAAAAAATGCAAAAATACTTTGTTTACTTTTAATAAATATTCAAGTAATTCATTACAACTTTTTTAATCCTTAAAATTTGATAAATAATTATTTTCGAATAATTGTAATCCATATAACCTGTAAGTGTTAACATTCATTTCTTCCAAATGAAACAAATTTTTGATATCCATTAAACGATATCCAGTAAACTGACGTACAAATTGAATATCACGATGAAACGCTATAAAATATTATATTATTTGAATAGATATGAATATATGAAGATGAATAGATGAATAACAATTATTATTTTGAATTTAGTACTTAATAGAAAAATTTATTTTAATTTAGATTAATCGATAGCCTTATTTCTAGTCTTACTTTTTTTTAGTTTAAATGAAAATTTTATTTTAATTTAAATTAATTGATAGTCTTATTTTTTTCTTTTAGTTTAAATTTATTCATTTCGTATTTTTCTCTTAAACTACAAAAAATTTTTTTTCATTTTTTAATTACAGATGAAAAGAATAAAAATCTTCCCATTTTTTCCATTTTAAAAATTTTCTTTTTCCTATTATTTACCCAATTAATGAATGTAAATACTATCAGTATTTGTTTATTAAAAATTTTTTTTTCCCTTTTTTTTATAACAAAGTACAATTGCTGTAACTCTCTATCACTTCATTTTCTATTAGCATCAAAAATCGCATTCGTATATAATTAGAATTCCAATTTTTTTTTTTGAATTAAAATTTTTTTTTCAAAAAAAAAAATTTTGTTTTCTTTTTTTTTAATACAATAAAGTGCAAATATATAATGGGAAAGAGATAATTTGTTGATAAAAAAAAAAAAGGAAAGAAAAGGAAATAAATATTAGAATAAAATGAAATAATGAAATATTGGTGTAATTTAGCAAAATTTTAATCAATCAAATTAAAATGCTAACAAATTTCTTCATTTATTTTGTTAGCTAACAGAAAGAATTTAATTAGCTAACAGAAAGAAACGAATGAAATGTTGAAATGATATAATTAAAAAATGAAAATAAAACTAATTGATTTTAATTATTATAAATGAAATTAAATTCAAATATTCGTGCTCTAAATATGCTAAAATTTTATGTCACTATTCATCGATAAATGAATTAAAATCGAATTGATTAATTGTAATCAAGAAATGGGGAAGAAAATTAGGAAAAAAAATAAATTAATTGTAATTAAGCATTGTAATTAAGAGATGAATAATTGATCATTAACGAAAAAATTAATTACTTGTAATTAAGCATTCTAATCAAGAAATGGATAATTGATAATTAACAAATGAATGAATTAAAATTAAAACTTAAAGCGCTATGAATAATTTTGTAAAGCATTCAAATGACAATTTCATATAACTATATTGAAAGTAATAAACTAACAATAACTATTAACTCAATCATAGGCTTAAATCCCCATACAATGATAAGTTATTAAGCCTAGTATATGCTTACAATTTTTCCCCATTTCACTTATCTAATTTCATTCATCATTTCCCACGAAATGCTATACTAAAATTGCTATTTATGCACTAAAAGAAGAAATCTTATATTCCTTCTAATTTTTAGCCAAGTAATAAAAGCCAAAAATTAGAAGCAAATAGGCTCTTTATTTTCAGGAAATGTTAAATGAAACGAATAAATAGGAATGAATAATGACAAACCAGGAATAGAATACATAGATATATAGAAAAGAGTGATATATGCAAACAACCACGCAAACAAACTTGGCTCCTTTCATTAAAATTTGATTTTCATATGCTTAGCATTTTAATAAGCCTAGCATTTGCACATGAAGATTTGCGCAAATGCTCCAAAAACCAATGAATCTTATCTACTTCAACAATTTTAAAAAAAAAAAAAAAAAGAAAAAAAAATAAAAACAATAACTAACTAAGGAATAGTAACTTTAAAAA